AAGGTAGAAGATGGGGAGGAGGGCGATGAGTCTGTAAATGGGATGAGACGATGGGGAGAGCGACGGGATCGAGTGGGAGGAGGAAGGATCGTGGGATGAGTAGCCGGCTGGAGAAGTGGGAGGGTAAAAATGGAACAACTTACATCTGAACCATTTAGGAGCACCTTAAACACTAAACCGTTAAGAGGATATTGTCACCGTTAAGAAGTTGTTATTTTTTTGCCAAACAGCTTCTGCCTCTTATCGATGAAGAGGCTTCCTTATAATGTCACCATTAAGAGGAAAACAAACAGCCCCTAAACTTCACTTTTGTGTTTTTAAGCATCGATTTTTAACAGATTCTTTAAAAAGCAGAAACTAGAATCTAAAAGATTCTAACTTTAGTTTCTTTATTTTAGTTAAATTATAAAAAATCTGTTGAAGATGCTCAAACTCGCCAATTTAGAAATGCATAGAAAGAACGATATTTGATTAGACTTGTTGAGATCAGGCTCTTATCCAAAGAATGTTTTAATCATATTTTAAGGGTTGGTCTTTGGACGGATCCTCGACTCAAAAAGAGCAAATTTTCAAAAAAGTTAGGCATTAAAGATCTTTATATTCACCCCTAACGAGCAATGAAGGTTAGAGGTGACCATTTTGTATCAAACCAACCAACATGTGTAACAGCCGTACCAATTAAATTGGTGTCAATTCAGTCTGTCAGTAATACCATACTAATTATGCAAACTTGATTGATACATAATATTGGAAGTCTGAGTGGTGGTGTACCGACTTATTTATATATTAAATTAACTAATGATAAAACATATGTTTTCATTTTTCAAGTTTTAAATGCTTATAAACAAGGGTACGATGTGAGGAGGAATAATTGTGTCCAAACTCCAAACTAATGCCTAATGCTATAATCCTAACATTTCACAACATTGTTTTGTGAATATCCAAACATAACATTTGTTTTGGAGATGTCCAAAATGGATCCGGTTTGGGATCGACTTAGAATCGTATCGGTAAAGACTGGTTATGGATTGACGGTTCAGGACCGGTTATGTTTTTTATGAAATTTCAAGGACCGGACCCATTTATACATCGGCTCGACTTTTAATTTTTTTTTATAAATTATATATAAGTTCTTTTACCAAAAACTTCAAAAAAAGAAAAAAATTTTGAAGTTTTTTTTAAGTGTTCCAATAAATTTCAAAAATCGTATTTATAAAATCATGTATACCATTTTCGTATAAAAAAAAATATTTTAAGTATATTTGAATGATCAAATTAGAGATTTTAAAGTGTATTTCAATGAGATATTGTCAAAAAAAGGAAAATCTTCAAACAAGATTTTTTATATGATCAAAATTGATTTTGAAAAAAACAAATTGGACCAATTTGGGCTCAGCTGGGATGGGACCGTTTCTAGGGACCACGCTTTGTACATGGAGAAGGTACGGATGTTTTTGGTCGAGATCGGCACCGGTTACCATTGAACTGGTTACAAAAGAAAAATCTTGAACCAGGACCGGTTACCATTGGCCATCTCTAGTTATTACCCTTTTGATGTAGTGAATATTAAACATTGAGACTTTAAGTTCTTTGTTTGAGTATTTGAATGTTTGCAAGTTTTATTCGTCACAATTAAAAACCCTTAAACATGACATGTTACCTACAAACTCAAGATTTCACGCAAAATGACAAGTTTTCATACGTGTAACTTGAAGTTGGTACAAAACCAATACCAACCAAATAAGTTGGTAACAAATACTGTTAGTTGCTATATAATACAAAATTTATGTACCAAATATAATTGACTAGAACGGAGTATTAAAAAAACACTTAGGTACTGTTTGGTTTGCAAAAATGAAATGGCTTTGGGAGGAATTGGATTTCAAATCCACTCCAATCATATTTTTTGGTTTGTTGGATTGTTCAGATTTGAAATCCTACAAATATAGGATTTTGAAATCCTTAAGGGTGTTGTGAATTTCATGGGATTTTGTAGAATTGTATCCAATAAGGTTTTACAAAATGTTAAAAGCATTTGTTTTGTGACAATCGATTAATAAAAAAATAATTTAATTATTTATAAATAATGGAATCCAATTCCATTTCAAATCCTGCAAACCAAACACATCAATTATTTCAAATTCATTATAATCCAAATCCCTCCAATCATGGAATCCAGATCTCTAAAAAACTGCAAACCAAACACACCACTAGTACCGTACCAACTCCACCCATAAGAAGTGAAACAATAGTCAAGAATAGAGTCGACACAATTAGGCATAGGAATAGGGAGGGGACCTCAATCCCCATCCCCGATTCATCATCTCCGTCCCCATCCCCATCTGGGAATATGATCACATCTCCATCTCCAACAGGGAATGAGGATCCGCAACGAGGAAACATGATCTTTTCCCATTTATGTATGTTATTTTAAATCAAATATGTTAGAATTAACACATGTTTAAATCTCACATATTTCTAATAAACCTGAAATCAGAAGAAATTTAATTTAATACAAAAAATTCACAACATTGTATAATAATTAATAACGAAAAAAAAATACAATTTAATCCAAAAGAACTTAACGTCACACGTACCAATATATATTGAGTGATATAAAACCATATCGAGCAATATTAAAAAACATATTGAGTAATTATATATTGACTTTGACATCTAATATATTACATACTAACATTCAAAAAAATAACAATTTTAGATTCCAAACCTAGTTAGAAAATAAAAAATTATGAATTATTGATTTAGTTGGAATAAATGATATATATAATTTATTGATTAATATATATAACAGGTATGAGATGGGGCGGGGCAAGCAATGCGATACCCGTCCCCATCCCCATCCGCGGTTTGAGACAAACGGGGATCTCTGTCCCTGTCCCCATCCCTGATCTAGCGGGAAATCCTCGTCCCCGATAGAATTGGATGGACCGGGTTCCCCGACGGGTCGGGGTCCATTCCCATGCCTAGAAACAATATTCTAACAAAAAGAATCATGGATACGAGATGAGAACATACGATTACGCTCTGACTAAAGGTCAAAGAATAGTCAATGATGGATACATACCGAACGTAATTAAATCAACGATCACCACTAATAACCCCAAGTGATTGGTGATGGCTCATGAAACACCAATTTTTTTTCATTACGTCTCATCAACTCCTTTAAGGGTGCACTCATTATGTCCATGACTACTAGTTAGTTGTTCATTTCGACTATAACAACACTGGACAAGTTGTCTGTAATTCTGTGTAGTTGGGCCAAAATGACGGTATATAATCTCATTTCAATCATAACTCCGGCCTATGTTCCCTTCAATAACATTTTCCCTCCATCAATTTATTTGAAACTTCAAGATTGACGACATTGGACTTTCCGCCAAAGAACAAACGTAAGACATGATTTGTAAGATGAAGGCGAAGGTCAGGAACGAAAGCAAGTAGAGAAGATGTTTCCGGGCACTCACTAGATTTCTTAACAAAGCCCGAGATTTTATGTCAAAAGCATGTCGGAACATGTCGGAATTAGCGGACCATTTAGAGTCTGGGTGCGGCCCAGCAACAACCAACGTCTCCATTTTTCCCAGCGTGAGCTCGACAAGATTGAGTAGCGTAACCAAGAGCTTCCAGAGCTCATGAGGCTTGCCTCCAGGAGGGGGTTGGCTAAAAAGGCTGAGTCTGAGTTTCTAGAGCAACAACGGTCTGAACAAGGTGCTGCTTGACTGAACATTGTCAAAAACAGTAGAATGGTTATGGGAAAGGTTAGTGAAGATAAGGCTTGTGATTTTGATGAAGTTGATGGTTTAAACTTCAATCTCCCAAGAAGCAGAAGCCATGTTCCAACAGGAAATAGGGCAAAATGCATCATAATACAATAAAGTTTGGTTTAGCTATTATTTAGTGCACAAAGATTTTTTTTTCTCAATCAGTAAAACAAAGTTTCAAAATTTCCCATTTTGTACCTATTTTGATCGGTAAACTACGGATCTTGTAACATTTAATGACGTAGATACTCGTTTATGAAAGGTTCACGAAAAACTCGACATATATTTCATCAAATGTTACAAGATCAGCAAGCAACCTGTCAAGATGGATAAAAAAATAAGAAATTTTGAAACTATTACATCAAATAAGAAAATTTAAAACTTTGTTATATTAACTTTACAAAAATCTTTTGTTACACTAAATAGGAACTAAAGCAGCAGGAAGTAATGGGATGTTTTACACATAAGAGAAAGCCATGTATTCTAGTCATGAAACAACCTCTTTGGAAATAGAGGGAAAGGTTGCTAAGAAAGACTTACATCCATGGCTTATGTGTACCAGGACTCCTCTATCAACCTCCTTTTTCTTATCCACAACATAAAACACATTGGTTTTAGTTATTTTTCTGTAAGACAGCATGAAGTATTTTGTACTTGTCGATGTTCTGCAAAAAGGTTACAACGCCATCCTCTGAGCCCCCTAAGGTACGGTCCCACTGTCTTTATGGGGGAGCTAATTCCCAGACCTCCATTCATGGTCACTTCCTTATCTGCTATTAAAGCCGCAGGGACTACCATGAATGTTTAAACATAGTTAGAATCCCACATTGGTAAGACTTGGACTATTTCTCCTCGATATATGTTGGAACATCCATCCCTTCTCACATGGTATCAAAGTCGAGGTCTATCAGTCTAGATTGTATACTCGTCTAGCCCCTCTCAACACTTTGGGACAATATGTACCCGTCTAGCCTCTATTGGAGGGGGCGTGCTAGACTAATCCCTCAAGGACTCTTTTTCTAATGGGATTCCACATATTCTCACCGTATTTGACCCCTACATAACTTGCCCTCTACCTTAATGTTATTCTGGGTTCTCATTTTGGTTATAATGGCTCGTAGACTTTAATATGGTCTTTCGAGATGACATCTACTATCTACTATGCTATCGGTAATCCTTAGATTTTCCAAGGAGCAGAGAGTAGAATCCTCGCGATCATTCACAAAATAGATTCAGACAACATAAGTTGCTGCCATATATTTAGCTCTATCATGAAAGCACAACAAAATATTGTTTTTACAAAAAAATATGGTTAAAGTATGTTTCGGTGAACCTTCATGCAACACATGTAAACAAAGAATTGAAGAGGGCATGGATATACTTACATGGAGAGAAGGATATATTACACATTGAAGGAATCTACTATAGCTTTCAAAGTCTTTTGGGATGACGGCCACTGTTTATCACTGGCACTTGCCACAAATAAGATCACGGTGTTTCCCTTTGCCGTAGCCTTTGCAATGTTGTGTGAACCAGTCAATGCAAAGGGAGTCTCCAGAAGATACCTATAGTACTGCAAATAGAACACAATATGAAGTTTATAAGAACGTGATGGTAGAAAGAATTTCCCGCACTTCTTAGAAGAAAAGAATAAAAACAATAGGTCAAAACTATCCTTCGTCAAACATCCTTCAGTTTTTCATGAGTTTCTGCTATGCTTCTAGAGTCTAAGGTTTATGCATACATAAAGTATTTGCCAGGCACAGACCATAGTGAATTCAGGCTCTTTCGTTCTTATTTTAGATGGGCCGACATTGATCGTTAGTTTTTACTGTAGAGGGGAGAAAACTAAAGATTTCTTTAGTATGAATGCATCAATCAGTTTAGCACCTAACCAATACTATAATGGTTTGTACACCAAGTCTTGATGATGCGCAGTAATGACACTCCTTTTGCAAACTGTTTACTAATTGTTGACCGCCTCGTACTGGGTAAGAGACGCTTATCCAGTAAGAGGTGAGGTTGTTTACCATACATTCTGACTGACCGATGCTCACTCGGTAAGGAAGGAAAGACTCTTGATAAGCGCTCACCCAGACCAAACCTCTTGACCCAAACTGCATTTTTACATGCTTAATGTTTACCCAATTTGTGTTGCTGAACAGGCTCTTAGAAAATGACTTGAATGTTATGGTCAATTATGCTATGAAATTCCATGACAGGATGTAACGTAGATGATGTTTGCAAAAGTTACGTGCAATGCCTACTTTTAAAATGTTCTTTTTTTTTTCCCAATTTCACCTGTTACATTTACAATCTTGCAATAATATCATAAAGTCCCACCAGATAATCCACTTTAAGAAGGCTAATTATTCCCTTGCTCATACTCATACCTACAATATAATGAGGTTTCAGATGCAAGACACAGTTGGACACTTGATCTATATAATAAAAGAAATGTCGATTAAAATGTGATTTGAGTGATTCTCAAATCACTTTAGGAAAGCTACTGCTCACATTAACTTTGCAATGAATTTAAATCAAATAGATCTTCCAAGATAACAAGAAGCATTGTATCCAACCCGGTTGGAGTAGGCTAAAAGTGAACCAAAAGAAAATATAAAATGGGAGAACCCAAAAGCAAATATAAAGAGGTGAAGCCCTGCAAGGTTCCAGAACATGAATGGTGTCCTTCCCCACACTGCTATCCAAGGTCAACTCCTTGGGTATGCTCTACTCATGCAATCTCTCTTCACTGCCTCTCTTACTGACCTCCTTTTACGAGTCTCCTCTTTCAACCAGTGTTCTCAATGGTCTACATTGGAGATGACCAAAACCAAACCACCTCAAAAGCAGTGGCCTCAGGCCTGAGCATATCCTTAAATGATGATGTCCGAGACTTGTATATATACACTTAGTATCATATTACTATCATGCAATTGTAATATTATCTCAAGCGATACAAAATAGGAGGTACAGGATTACGCAACAACTTTATATCAAGTAGATTCCGAATCAGTAAGCTTCCTCATTGTAAGAAGAAGGTGGCTTTCTTGCTTTAAAAAAAATGATCTAGAATAGAATGTCCGCACCGAGTTGTCCTAGCAGTGATGAGGTGGGAATCCATAAGTGAGGTCTCGGGTTCAAATTAGGCACCATCCACCTACCTCAGGGACACCGTCATTTCCTCCCCATGATGACCGTGGGCGAGTGAGGTACGAGCACTCCAGAGGGTGGCATATACCCTTTTTTCAATCTAGAATAGTTAAAAGCCAATGGAATTCAAAGTACCCGATAATACTTCGAGCATTCTCTTGTGCATTTTTGTTGTGTAGATCAAGATACGGGCAGATTTAACATACTTGGATTTTGTGCATTGTTAGAATTGTTCCTTTTTCGCCAACTTTGTTGGGAACTAAGGCTTAATTAAGAAGCACCACATGACCATTTCTTTTTATTATTACTGTAGTACTTTATGAGAGTATTAAGTGGTATTTAAGGTGGTTCAAACTGGAATTGGTTATTGTTGCCAAAGTTGGAAATCAGCATAAACCCCTCCCAGGGGGAACTCATCAAACCATAACTTAACCCCCACATCGTATTGTCATAGAAATTCAAAATAACTCAGAGAAGAGGAACATAAAAAAGCAGTGACTGAAAGGAAAGAGCAATTTTAAGCTGATGATGCAATATGACCAAACAACTACAGAATCTGATTAAATCCAAAGTGAACATGTTAAGATTTCACATTACTTTGACTGACTTTCAGTTTTTCCTTAAACAAATTTAAAAGCAGCTTTAGCTGATTAAGATTAAATAACATTCAAACAACCCAAATCAAACCTTTTACTTGGTAAAAGGATTTCTTCTATATTGAACTATTTTCAATGATTTATTGTGACCAACTTTGTGGTCACTTATTTTACTGAACTGCATATAGGCATCAATAACTTGATAATACAAGATATTGAAGCTTATTCCATAGCATATGTAGAAATCCATATAGCTATTTAAGATGGATAGAATATTCCTGTGGAGGAAGGATCATGAGAGAAGTTAATCAATTTGCCAAAAGTTCTAAGATCATATATGATTACACGTGATACACAGGCTTAATCATATATGATTAAACACCTCAAAGGAGACGCAGGTGAGTTGGTGAAGCTATGTGTTGTCAATGCAAAATGTTTTAATCGTATATAATTAAGTGTGCGTATCATGCTTGTAATCATATATGATACTAGAACTTCTCGCTTTCTCGCAAATTAACCAGCTTCTTGTTTGGAACAGAGTACTTGACCCTATTCCTATGATCTGTAAATAATTCTAAGTGAGGTTAATCACTAATATCCTAAAGAAAGCAAGATCTTTCAGGAAAAAAAAATAGAAAAATCCACTGTTGTTATTCCATTTTAGATAATTTTTTGCAGAAAATGTTTTGCTTTCAGAAGTGAGCTTCTGCGACGCGCCTTTAGCATGTCGTCTCTATAAACTGTTTGTGACGATAAATTGACTTTTAGCAACGACATTAAAACCCCTATTTCTTGTATATGGATCTACTGTATGAAATATCTCAAAGCATACCAAGAAATCGTCACTTGCTACAACCTAGCCATCTACAATACTCCAGCACAAGTTTTGTATGACCTTTAGTCGAATTCTAGATTTTAAAAGGCAAGTTGCACCAGTCTCTCTTTAGAAGTGAGTTTCTGCGAACTCACAGTATTCTACTTTATGACTTCATGCAAACTCACAGTATTCTACTTTATAAAGTGCAGAGGTAAGGCCCCTTAATCCTTTAGATTAAATCAAATCCAGATAGACATGGAATTATGCTATTGACAACCCAAATTTTATGTTCAGAAACCGATTTTAGTTCATAAGCAGTTATATCATGTGAAATCGGCATTCCTGTATTCAAATTCAGATCCGATTAGTCTGCCAAGTACAATGGCCTTCTTTAACTGAAAATCTGACAAGAAAAATAATGGAAAACACATTGGAAGACGGCGAGTAATAGTTTTACAAGATTGATTCCAACAAGTAAAGAAAGGAAAAAGAATTTGGGGAGAGAAAATAAATGATCAAAAGATGAGTTCATAAGTTGATACCGTTTGATCTCCTATCTTCTCAATTGATGTTTCAAGTAGTTCATCTGAGTCATAAGTATTTCCAGTAACAAAAGAGCCAAGAGAAGCGATAACCTTCTCCGGGCTCCCAATATCTTCAATTGTTGCATTAGGTTTGTTGGTCAAGCGTATCAAAGGAGAAGCCACTACTTGAACTTTGCCCTGCTTTTCATCTTCAAATTTCACCTCTATCCAAGGCTCTGCACATTTGGGTTGGCAGTAATTCCCAGACAGTATATTAGCAATACGCAATTGCTTCCAAGTTGGTGGAAGGACGAATCGGTATGGCTGCACATTTCCTGCAGGCAACTAAAATCAAAATTTTACTATAATAACAAACGTAGGAACTAGAAGAAAGAAAATAAGATTCTACTTTAAAGAAGTTATTGAAGTCACAAGAGAAGTTGAGCTTGAGTTAGCGACAATGTAAGTTATATATTCTATTCGAGAAATGTTTTTTCTTTTCTGCAGCCTTGAAATATTAACAAAAAAAAAGGACACAGAATAACCACGCTGATATCACATGACTTATGGTTGGACCTATTGCAAGGATACCATGGCATGATACTTTGAGAACAGGAGCAAAAATATGAATAATTTGGGGATACAAGATGCAATATAGTGTATAGTACGCTGTGCATAGTATATATGTATATATCTGAATAGCATATTAGTCTAAAATTCATCAAATACACAAACAAGTGATTATCATTGTTGATGCATAGGAAACTACAAGTGCATAACAAAATCAATCTAACACATGAACATCCTCATCATCATGCACACCATTTTCATTTATGTGACATCTAAGGAAAAAAAGAACTGTTTCCATACCAAACCCATCAATGAGATAAATCTACAACCTCAATGTCTAATTCACCAACCATAAGGTCATCACCTTACATCCTTTCTCTCTCATAAGAGTGGCGACAAGTATACTTTATTTCAGTTTTTACCCTAATTCCTAAATTTAGGCTTTGTGAATTATAATAAATATGTATTTCTTATGTTCTTCTTTCATAAAAGCCAAGAATGTCCCATCCCATGATCCCGTATTTGGGATAGGGTCAAAGGAGCACAGACCTTGTAATGTAGTTGCAAAAACCTTATATCTATATTATTCGCATTGTCATCCAAGGTTAATAGCTACCACCAACTCTCTCATATGACCATCAGAAGTGTTAAATACCAGATGTCTAGATATAATTGAAGTGTAAGAGTACGGAAAAGAATTGATGCTCATGAAGACAATATTAAATTGATAGCTCAAGTAAATTGCCAGTTCTTTGAGACTCCTGATCATCAATAGCATATGCAAAACATAATAAAACTAATATAATTAAAGAGGACATGAATCCCAACAACATAATATGCATTCAATAGAATTAGATCCAAATGACACCTCTTTTGATAACATAGCAACAATCATCCAAAATCACACCAATCTGTCATAAGTGAACAGTATTATTTTTATCATAAATTCCAGTCCCAAAAATTGCCAGTATTTCGACTTTTGAGTGTCAAATTAGATATTTTCTAGATCAAAATCGATGATAATATATAACTGCTACATAGAAATCATCAGAATATGGATATATTGAAGATTGACGAAACATAGATTCAGATTTGAGTTTGACAAGGTCAAAATTACAAACAAAAACTGAAAATTTACCTGCACGAAGAGCTGGAGTATCCTTAGAAGAGGCTTGAAACATCACGAAATTAGGATCAGAATTGGATTGCGGTAGATAGGAACCAACCTCAATTTCTTTGGCCTCAGAAGGTGAAGGTGAATGCAATGGGATTATGGTAGTAAATGGTACTAACGACAGAGTCAATCCTTTGAGGAAGTGTCTTCTGGCGGGTGATTGCTGCAAAAATGGAGAATCTGTGAATGTAGGTTTGTTGGAAGAAGCTGGTTTTGAAGAAGAGAAAAGGAAGGATAGTGATGAAACAGAAGCGGAAGCCATGGTTGAAACGAAGAGAAAGAAAGAAGGAAGGTCTCCCGCTTTAATCCGGTTTTGGATGAGGTTTTGTATTGGTCGCTCTCTGGACCGCCACCTGTCCTTATTCCATTTCTAATATATTTACGAGTAAATTTCGTTTTTGGTCCTTGTACTTTACTGATGTTTTTAGTTTTGGTTCCTAAAGTTTAATTTAATACGGATTGCAATTTGTTAGGTTTTATGCCCTTTGACTAACACTTGTGGATGATCCGTGATCGGCTAGATGGCCGGTTAAGATCTGGGTTATCATACATCGTCGAAATATGGGTGGCATTGTAGTACATCATCGAGATCTAAGTTATATTTCTGATGCTCTTGGAATGGAGTGGTGGGTGGTGGAATGGATTATAGAGTCAGCCGGAAGTAGTGATGGCCAAACCGGCTTGGCCCGGGACCATCTTGGCCCGAGACCGGCAAAGACCGGTTATAGGACCAAAAACTGGGACCAGTTCATGATTTGGAGGGTTTTGCAGGACCGGGACCGGTTATGGACCGGCCTGGTCTGGTCCAAAATTTCAAAAAAAATCTAGTCGTTATGTTGCCCTTTTTTCGATTTTTTGTCTTCTAAACACTATAAATTCGACTTATTTTATGATTGAAAATTTGATAAAATAAAAAAATTATATTTTTTTCATTTTATAGACATCATTACCCACAAAATTCTATTGGAAATCTTGATTTGATCGTCGTTGAAGGATTGTACGATATTTTAGACAAAATGAGACAACACTTTTATCCGGCATTTATTATCCAACAAACCCTTTAATTTTAAATCAATTATATATCATCACGATTGAGGAAGGTTGATGAGTTCAATAAAAAAGAAATTGTTAAAATATTTTATGAGCATCTCATTTGTTTTTCTTTGTTGCGGAGTTAAACTTGTATTTAAATATTATCGGTGTTGGTGTTTTAATTACACAATATGTGTGACATTTGGTTTAGATACGGCTACGGATAATTCCTTTTCAATGGAATAAAAACGGTGTTTAATCCTAATTTTCAAGATTTAGTTGATCATTATAAACATTTTTATGAAGGAGAAAACCAACAACAAAGCTATAAGAGAATGGGTTTTTGATTTTCTTTTAGATTTGGATTGGTTTCTTGGGTTTTGGAGATATGGGTATATCATTTTTGAGTATAGGGGAGGTTTGCTATATTTGAATAACCAATCCTCTTTTATGCCTATTCTTGTGATCTGGTATGGAGAGTTGGTGATTATATGGCTTACTTTACCTTGGTTTTCCAATTTGATCTTTTATCTCTTGATATGGAAATGGTTCTTTTATGTTACTGGCTCCTGCCCTGCTCTAGGCCAAGTACCTGCTGTGTTTGGTCTATTGTTCTCACGCATGAGGGCTTTCCTCTTATATCTAACAGTGGTGATAGTTTTGCTAATCCTTTATTCTTTGGCTGGGCTTTGGGCCATTACTTTCTTGTGATGGATTATTCCCTGCTGAGTGAAAAGTATGGTGAGAATTATGCTAGAGTTGGAACCAACAAAGCTTTTGAGTTCCTTTGGTGGGTTCCTTATGCTGATACAAGGGGGTGCAGGGTAGAGGAGGTAGGAAAATACTTGAACTTGTTTGGGAGGTCATTTTGGAGGTTTGGTTGGTCCAATGGGATCTCATTTTTTGCTGTGCAGGGGCTGTTTGGTGCACATGGGCTGTTTTGGGAGTCTGGTTGATCTTATGGATCAACTTATTCATGGTGTACAGGAATGATAGTGTGAATCTGTGCACTTCAGGGTTGGAAGGGGTGGGTAGTTTCAGGTCTCTTGGTGTCACCCATTCCAAAAGAAAATGGTTCTTTGATTTTCTTTTCTTGGGTATTGGAGTTATGGGGGTTCCAAGCTTCTGGATTTCTGGCCAATGGTCTGTGTCACATCTTCCATTCAAGGTTTTTGTTTTTAGGGACTATTTGCTATCCGGTCATATGTGGCATGATGTGCAATTCCTCCTATCGTCATTTTGGTTCAGTTCTGGAAGCAAAAGCAAAATTTTGACAGTTGGCTACTGCTCTACAGCTGTGTGGACTAGAACTGGAATTTTTAACATATGTTAGTGTTTGGATTTTTGTGCTGAGGAAAGCTTAAGGGTTAAGGTGTGGCATGGGAGTTCACTTGTATATTGGAGAAGGGAGGAGTAGAGTCAAAGGCTATGGTCCCTGCAAAGAAAACAATTTTGATATGATCCTGGAGCCTAGATTACTATGTGATCAATTGGCATCATCAAGACAACTTCATACTGCAATCAAATGGAAGTATAAAATTTGGCAAGCTGGGTCCTGCCAAAAAAAAAAGCTTCTGTATTGAAAGGGTTTGTTTACATCAATACATATCGAGAAATGATGAAGTTTGGTCTTCCAATTTTTGGAATCCAAATATAATTGATAGATATTACTGGTGGAATCAATCTCTTCTGGTTTCAAGATCTCTGCTACAGAATAATGCTCCTTCAAGCAGTTGGTCATCAGTTGAGTCGTTTGAGATGTGAAGTTAGATGGAGTAGTCTGAGGCTTTATCACAAAAAGCGGGTGGCTTTATAGAGATTTGAATCTCTGTGTATGGCCGTGTAGTAACAGCAGCTGGGAGAGGACCCAATTTCAATCTTTGGCTGAGTTCTTAACCTCCCCTTCATACAGCAGGTCTTCATGTGATACAATCTGAGTTTGAAGCAATTGTATCATCCATCGAAAAGAAAAGATGCATCTTGGTTGTTTTCTTCAAGGATATGGCGGGATTTCCATTCAAACGAGTTGCGTTTGTACTTCAAGGGTTGGATTGGATCGAAACCCTAGACACAGCTGCGATTTTGATTGATCTTTTTGGGAGAGGGTATGGTGAAACTAAATAAAATCGATCTCTAACCATTGTTGGAAGCAGCGAAAGTCATCGATTCGATTCTATGTATGTTCTTCAAGCTGAATTGTTCTTCTCGATGGAGAAGACTTCTGTTAGTAATAGTATCGATTTGGATAAAGAGATTGTGAACTATTTGGGCCTTCAAGATCTCAAGTTGTTATTGCAAGGATTTTCAAGTTTGGGATGCTGGTGGGCTTCGTCAAGATGGGCCAAAATGCTGGTATAACTCCTTTAAATTTTTTGAATAGCTTGTCTATTTGGGCTTGTTGGCTTTTTTATGCTACGTTGGTTAGGATTAGGAGTATTAGGCCCTTACTTAGTGTTTTTCCTAGGAATGCACTATTTTTCCCTTCTTTTTGGGTATGCCCCTCGTAGTTGTATCTTTTTCGTTCTTTGAATAAAAATTTTCCGGGGTTCCATCCCCTTTACCCCAAAAAAAAAACCAACAACAAAATTCTTCAAGTCGTGGGTTTGCGAGTTTTAGTTATTCTTTCCGTGGTCATTGACAAAGTCGGAAACAGTTGATGACTAATTTAATGAACGAGGTTTTAAATGAATCAAATAAAAAAAGTCGATATTTGATAATGCTTTTGCTGTGAAGATTCAACTTTTTTTACATTCAGAACATTTTGTTGTCAAATTTCAAGAATAAAAATCGTATATCATATATCTTTTCATATAATTATAAAAAATAATTTGATTTCTTATTTTCTTTGAAGAGAGTGAGAAAAAAAAAAGGAAAAGGTCCAAGATAGTATTGACTTGACAAATTCTTTTAACAACAACTAATGGTAGGGATCAAAATAGACAAAAATACAAAGTGCAATAATAATTTGTATTAAATAAATTATAACCAAAAAATAAAAAAAAGCACAAAGACCAAAAATTAAATTTACTATAAATTTAATTTTTAAATCAACTTTACCTTTCTTCTTACTATAACTAACCATCTTTTTCAATTTTGACAAATTATTAACCTCCAAACTTATCTTTTGAAGAAGGTAATCAACCAATTTTATTTTCATTCTTCGAGGTTATTTGACAGTTGTTAAATGGTTTGCTACAGAATAATTAAGTGGTTAAAATGATTAATAGGTTCTCATGATATAGTACAAAATGAAATATAATTTTTCGATAACTGTTTACAATGGAATTAGGGAACTGAATGGTTAAGGAAGGCCCAATATACAAAGTCATTCAAATGGTTTTAGAACCATTAAGAAATAGATTTTTTTTTCGTCAAACATGATTCACCTCTTAACGATTCAGAGATTCTCTCTTAATGGAACTATTAAGAGATAAACAAACAACCTCTAATTTTCCTGAAATACGAATATGATCTTTGAGTCCTTTAAATGAGAAGTATTTGGTCATTAATGTCGACTTTGTACCGTTCTCAAACCTTCATTTTTGGTATGGTTTACTAAAACAGGGTTAAATTGTTCAAACTATAATACGAGACTAGGAACACCCTTCTGAATAAGAGAGAATAATATGTATAGAATGATTATATGAGAGAAAAATATCATTTAGCTAAAGTTAATAATTGTTCGAAACAAAACACAATTTTCAAAATAAAACCAATATCTTACATCCGGTTTATACTTACAAAAAACATAAAAAGTCAGATTATGTTGAACCAAGCTCCAACTTCATAGGAATAAGTCTAGTACACATCTTATACCCAAGTCAGCCTGAGGAGTCAGTAATATGTCAGAAGTTTGCATATTCATTCATAATACTCGTAAATGTAGACTTGGAGTAGATTTACTGTTTGCATCAAAATTTGCACAATGTTTTATGAAATTGAGTGTTACTCATTGGAGATTCTAATCTGCTTCAACCCGAAAAATATATATTCTCCTGGTTTCATCTTTCAACATCCCTTTACGGCGTAAATGATTTTTCAATGCGCACATTGTGCCATTCACATTGAATACATTGACATAATGTCCTTCCATCTGAACTTAAGTGGCGTTTAACATCTAAAAAATCCAAATGATGTCTGATTGCATCGAATACATGACGAAACATAATGAGGCAGATGCTAATATTATTAGTTGAGTAATTTTGTCTTGTTTTTTGATCAATTTTATTCCTGATTACTTTGATGATAAACATGTAATATTTAAGTTCTAATCTATTGAAATTTATGTTATGAAAATTTAACAC